TACAAAAGGGCATAAAATGCCATGCCATTTCATTCTGAACAGCTTCTTCCATCTTGCACTGCAGCACATAGCGCTTAGCAGCTAAATAACAGCAAAGGGAAGAAAGTAAGAAGCACAGAGGACAGAAGGGTGCTGTATTTCCAGCTGAGACACGAGTACTCAGGATGAGAAGAGCCAGAGCTAAGGCTGCTCTGCCTGTCCACGTAATGGCTTCCTTCAGGGCTGCAGCAAACAGCCCCTTCCCTTCATCAGTGTGTGTTTTTTCTACAGCCACCAGGTGACAGTAACACCTGCACGATGTAGCAGCCAGGGCCTGTCTGATTTTTGCTTCTTTATCCTTTTTACTTAGGTCCAGGCTTGCAGAACAGTGAAGATGTGTCACAGCAGAAATACAGGCATGGTCATCTCCTCATGGTCCAAAATCAAGAGGGAAGTAAAAAATATTGCAAGATTATGGTAATTAAATTCATTTGAAGTTATTTTTTCTTGTCTTAACCTTTTTACTTGCACAATTCCTTTCTCCAGGCCTTTCTCCAGGCCGCGGGTATTTCTGTGCACTGGAAAGTTGGAATACGGAGACTTATTTGTATCTGAGAGGTGGCAAACCTGCTTCTTCCCTCCTGGTCCCTTTCATCATGCAGACTGGGAGAAATATTTTGTTTGTTACTTAAAAAAGTGTATTTTTTTTTCTTGTTAAAGTTAATTTTCAAGTTAATTTTTTTTTCATGTAAATACTCACTCTCTCTTGTTATTACATTAGCTATTCTACTTTGTTCTTCCACGAAGCAAGTTTCAGTTTACAGGTACATCTGCTTTCTATTCCACAGCTTTAAGTCGTCAGGAAAATCTTAAAACCTACTTAATGAAGCCTTTTAAATGCTCACCCTGCACTTTTGAGTGAAGTGCAATTTATATTTCATAAAAGTAGAAGCTGAGCTGCAAGCTGTAAGTAATTATCATATAATTAAATGTCTACTATGAAAGAAATGAAAACTCACGCTTCTTGGGAAGCTTCCGTGACTGGTTTGTGCAATAGCAAATTAAATTACACTTCTTCACCTCATGAACATTCTGCAGGTACATTAACCCAGTTTGGAAATGCACCTGTGAGACTGCTAAGCTGTTTTGAGAGGGGAAGGAAGTTGATCAAAGCAGCAGATTCCATGGGCCAGGTAGAAGAACATGTAAATATGTGATGGGTTCTGCAAACCGGACTGTTTGCCTTGTGGGCAACAGTGTGGGAACACTAGCAGTTAATAATGAAGAAATCAACCCTCTGAAAAGTAGTTTAAGTGAGCTATCCTGTTATTAGATTATTGATACACTGCTGGGTTCCAGCAGATGTGGTCTTTCTCTGCAGGAGAGAAAAACATTCAATTTGCTGCGTATTTTTGGGTAGGAAATCTGGACAGAGGAGAAACTCTTCATGTATTCGGATATCCTATGTCCTAAGCTATGAATCCCCTCCTGCTGCCCAAGGAGGGCAGCGAATTCACGGACAATGCACCTGGTGAAGCTTGTGGTGAGGAACTCCAGCTCTGGGTGTGAACTGTTCCTTTCATTTGACAGCTGCTTTTAACAGCTGCTTCTGTTAATCATTATTCAAATAACGGTATTCTACAATGAAAATTTCATGACAAGGAAGGATAGGAAGTAGCATACCAACATGTACGTTCTGTGTTCTTGCTATTCGTGTTTTCGGCGGTTCATGGCTGGAGGGATGTAGCTGGCTTAGTTTCACCTGAAAGCAGCAAAAACTGAATTATTTAAAGATGAGAAGCTCTGACATGGAGCTGTTCTAATGCAAGGAGCTGCTGCAGTAATAGTCTGTTACGGCTTTATGCAGATGATGAATGAAATATTTTTGTGTGCTGATGGAATTTAAGAGAAGTTTCTGTATGACTTACCTTAAAGAACAGAAAGAATGAATGTTTCATCATATTTCTTAGTACTCTGATCTCACACACAACTTGTGTTCCTGTACTGCAAAAAGAGAAGACTGAGCATAGACTGTGAGAAGCTCTACTACTTTGCTGCTTGAGGGTCTAATGAGCCCCATTTTTATCTCCTCAAAAGAAGATACAGCTCCTGCTGCCTCCAGTGTATAGCATAGTGATAGTCAAAAATCTTAGTTCTCTATTGTATACAAGGTGGTGATGACAATGTAGTGGTATCCTTCATGGCATGCCAAGGGGACATACAGTTGCATTGGCTTTTTTTCCCCTCTCACTTTTTTCCTAAGGTTAACAACTTAACCTTGACTTCAGGCTGTATTTTTTTCTCATTACACTTCTCCATTACACATTATTTGGTTTGGTTACAGTCACTAGAGTTTAACTGCTCTGACATATTAATTTTAAGGGCATAAATGACTTCATTAAAATGATGTCCTTCAGGTAAGTGTACTTCGCACTGTGATTGGAAGTGGACAAAAAGAAATATGAAGCATCAGCTCTTCTGTGTTACTAATATATTATAGAAACCAAAACCAGTACAATGTATAGATATAAAAAGCTGTTTAGTTAACTTGAGGTTGCCCAGGCCCCTTAAATCCTTTGGGGATGGAATAGCTGTTGGATGAGGTCACTCCTAAGGGTTAAGATTTCCTTAATAAAACAAGCCCAGAGCCCCAGTGTGAGTTGGGTCCATCAGACACCCCTTGATGCATTGCCACAAAAAGTGCCCAGGACGAAACTTACAGTCCTCTGGCAGCCCTTTTGGAAATAGAAAGCAAAACCCAAAAAAACCTTCAATATGTAGCTTACATCTTTCCATTATGATCAATCATTTGTATAACCATCAGGATTTTCCTTCGTAATGTGCTTTTAGGCAAACCTTTGCTTTATGTTTGGAATCTCTCTTCATTTATATGCAGTGCTGGTTTCTTAGTCTCCCTGCTTATTCAGCCTTATTTCTTAGCAATAATCACATTCTTGTTAGGAATCAGAAACAAACAGGAATGTTGTTTGTTGTATCCTGATAGGAGATGTTCATGGGAAGTAGGTTAGATTTAGAATAGGTGCTTGGAAACCAAGGCTGCTCTTGTGTTGCCACTGCTAGACTCCCTGCTTCAGACTCTAACCCTGAGAAGTCACAGTAAATTCAGTTAAAAGGGGAATGTAGGTTCTGCTGCTGGATGATACCAAGAGAAGAAGGAGCAGCAGGCAGCCTCTCCAAACTAAGAATTGCTTTTTCTGAAAAGGACCTGCAACACCCCTGGCCAAGAAGCACACAGTAAACACTCCCAGCAAACCTCCAAGGTGAGGCTGAGATGTACGGCATTACAGCGATGCAGCCTGAGAACAGACCATCCAGATACACCGACAAGTTTCCTTTCTGCCAGACCTTTCTCCCCAGCGTGATCCTGTGTTGCCTGGTCTGCAGCTGGGCCTGGTCCCTGAGGCTCCATGGGGGACTCCCATGTGTTGCCTCAGCTTCTTATGATGTGACAAACAGTATGAGCCTGCTCTTGAAGGTGTTTTGGGTGCATCCTTAGTGCAGCTGACATTTTAGCTGAGTGCTAACTCCTGCTTGCCCCTCCTTCTCCAGGGCTGTCTGGCCTCTTGTAAGGGCTCCGAGCTTCCTTCATGAATCACCAGGCTTGGATGTGCAAAACGCCTTGAGGTAGTATCTGGACATGTGTGGATGGACATGTCCTGAAATCCAGTGTTACAAAGCAGCACTTGTGCCTGACAGTGGGGGCTGAGGGGACCTGGGCTGAACCCCTCGCAGCCAGGCAGCAGGCAGACAGCAGCTCTGTGGCTGAGTCCTTGGCTGCTTCCCTCAGACCTGCAGGAGCAAGGCAAGGCAAAAAGTGCCGGGCTGCTGCAGATGAAAAACCCTTCCTAAAAAATGAAGTTAAAATTGAAGCTGACCTGAGTTAAAAAGCAATTTTCTGAGAATGCAGAGGTGCGAGAGGAAGTGCTTGAATGCACTGTTAAGTGGGGCTGTGAGTGTGGGAGCCAGGGGGCAGCAGGGAAGGGCTGCTGGGGAGCCCTGCCATGCACCCGGAGCACGTCTCCATCATGGAGCACGTTTCGTGTGACCACTGAATTCTGCCTGCATAAATGGATTTTAGAAGAATATATGTAATTTTTGAAACCACTTGACAAGGTAGTAATAAATCTGCCAGCGTTTCTACTTTGACCAAAGCTGAGCTGTAATTTGGGTTTCATTTCAATACCTAATGCCATTTTGGGGTGGGAAGAGACCTTCCTAGCTTTGGAATTAGATTTCTCTACAACAAGTATTATACTCAAACCTGTATCATTGCCTTTGAGGAACAGCAGTATTTAAAATCCTCTGTAATGCAATAAGCCTGAGCTCCAGCTAAGCGTGTGCTGTGCTGGTATAATGCTGCACTGGTGGTGGCTCTTGTTATGATATCGAATGTGAGGTAAACACAGGGCTTTCTTCAGGAGTAATTAATAATTTAACCTCTGTGAAGTAGAGGTGGCACTTCATTTATCCCAAGTGTTCTTTGATTTTCTCTGTGGCCCATTTCAGCTGGCATCTCTGCCTTTCTCCCTTTCTCACCCACGCTGGCTGCCTTCCTAATAAGCTTTTTCAGCAAAGTCCAGCTTTTTTATTTTTCTGATAGCACTAAGCTTTTATTTCACATAAAAATCGTGTCCTATTATAAAAGACACCCTCTTTTGAGCAGATCACTGATATGATGGGGAGCTGCAACCCTTGCAGTGGCTGCTGCAAAGCTGTACTCACTTTGCTAAGCACAGCACCTGGACCAGACCATGGAGTACCCAAGTCTGTCTGTCCACCTGTGTGTGAAGCTGAAAAGAATCTGTAGGGGAACTGTTAGCTCAAGGCCTGAACTGGTGATTGAGCACCTGGTGAGGGCTGTGGCTTCCCAGGGAGCACAGGCAAATTGCAGCTGTGCTCCCCAAGCGACTGAAAGGGGTGGAACCCGGGTGCAACCACCCTGGGCTCATATAAGGGTCAGCCATGGAATGGAAAGTATATCTTGAAGCTAGACTGCTTCTCAGGCAGTGGTGCTGCACAGCCAGAGATCCCCTACTCCAGTTGAGTAAGTTTGACTTTTTTTTTCCTTTGTTTTTTTTCTTTGTATGACTGGTGGCCTACCTGTGAATATTTTGCCTGCTGTCACCAAGAATTGTTGAGAAGCAGTTTTGCTTCTTTGTGAACAGGATAGAATTGCAGTGAATTAATTTGGTGTTTGTTCTGCTTTCAGATCTGCACAAAGTCTTGGAGCTGCTTGGCTCTAGGAGACATGAACCTGTACCCTGTGTGTGCAGTGCTACAGTAATTCACCAACCTGATGTCTTTGTGCTAGACCAAGTCTTGGTGATCATAACTTGTCTAGATCTGCCCCAAAGCAAGGTAAACCAGATGAACAAAGCACTTACTGCTTTCTAAAATGTGATCTTATTTTTTTTTTAACTTTATAACTAGTATTTTCTACAAGCAAGTGCAGTCACAAAGCTTTGTTTTCTGTGAATTTGTATTTCGTACTTGAATTTTGCTTGTGAATGGGTAACTTTGGAAACTTTCCTGTTGTTTGAGTATTTCTTAACATCTCCCTTGTGTGGATTTCCTAGTATCGGAGGTGCAAAGTTAATGGTATGCTTTTTCCCTTAAGGAAACCAGAGTCTTGCTCTTTGCAGCCACTCAGTTTCAAGCACTGTTACTGAAGTGATATAAGATGATGGAAGTCAAGTATTAGGAGAATAAGCAGGAAGGCATGCAGAATGAACGAATTGATTAGAATGTTCCAATGACTGTAAGATAATTGTAAAGGAATCTCATTCTGTAGTACTGGAAAATTGTATCTGGAAGGAGCATGACTGCGTTTTGAATAGGAGCGATCACAGATGGCAGCTCACTGGTTGGAGGTAGTCCTTTCCCTGGATTTCCAGTGCTTCTTGTTTGTCAGTGGAAGACAGGATACGTGAAAATCTCCCATCACAAGCACAGCTCTACTACTTACCCTTTTGTCATTCAACTTCCACAGGGACAACTTGGCTGGTGGGCACGACTCCAAAACTGCCCCAGGGCCTTTGGTCTCTGATGTTCCAGGTGCAAACCTGGTGAGGTGTGAAGGCTTTGCAGCAAAGGCAGGTGAGAGTTGGGGCCCTGGAGCAGAGGGCATGCTGCCTGGCAGTCTGCTGCCGCCCTTCTGCATGATCAAATAAGGAGTCCTGGGGGCTGTTTCCATTAGCAGGATTTGTTTAAAAAGCTCATTTATTTTTGATGTACCATTCTTATTTTAAAAGAATGCATGAAGTTCTGTTTTATTGAGCATGGCAGGAGTTTGAGCAGTGGGAGACATACTTTCTCTCCCTTACCTTTGCATTTTTAAGTCCTTCTTAACCAATCCAAAAAAAGCCTCTAAGTGGCTGTTGGTGTTCATCCAGAATGTGTTCAGGTTTCCTTGTGCGTTCTGCCCATTATCCTGGTTTCTGCTGTCTGTTTTCCAGGCATACGAGTCACCATAAAGTAGTACCTAACAAAACATCTCCCCAGCTACACAGGATTTGAGCGAGAGTTTTTTCTTCTCTGGAGAGTTACTCTTGTTCCAGATGCCTACATCCATACTTAATAACTTGCAGAGAATCATCCAGCTCTTCAGAGTTGATAAACCTTTCTTATGTCAGGATAAAGTCTTATTTATGTCCAATACATATTTCACTGTATTTATTTCCAAAGCAACATAACGATGAAGGTTATTTAGCATTATTTTTTTTCTTGTTTCCTGTAGTGTTTAGTCTTTAGTAATAAATCTATTTCCATTTTGAAGTGCTGCTGGCACTTCACAGGATCTGAGCAGAGCTTTGCTCAGCCTTTCCCCAGGCTGATGTGAAGATGCTGGTGCGTACCCATGTGTGATGCTTTGGGCCTTGTTTCAGCTGTGGGAAAAGCCTGTGCCACGCAGGTGTCACTGGAGGTGAATGTTGAGGCAACCGATGGCAGTGATTCAGAGTATCAGCAGGGAGACAAGGTGGGGAGATGTGACCCTAGATTATTTTTACCCCATAATGTGCAAGCAACTTAGCAATTCTAGCAGGTTCCAGTTTCAGAGCAACTGATGATTATTTTCAATATACGTTTCCAGAGTATTTTCTTCCCCAAATTTAATTTGAGCAAAGAATGCTTTCAGCACTACAAACTAAATTGGTTGCAGCACTGTCACGTTGGCTTTATGTATTGCTGTTCCCATTTCTGGTGGCTAGGACACTTGTGCTTTTGTTTTACAATTAATATTTTGATGAAACCTCGTAAGGTACCGTAGGCATAAATATTTAATACCTTCCTCTCCATGTTTCTTTATTGCTGAGCTTGGTGATAAGTTAGTACTTCAGAGTGAAATGCAGATAAAACAGTAATGTGAGCAGTTTAAATCTGCATTTTTTCCAATGCTTCTCTGGTCAAGACAACTGTGTTGCAGTAGGAGTATTGCTGTTTAAAATTGTTTACCTCTGTGCTTCAGCTGAATGCTGCTGTATGTGATAAATGAGGTAAATAAAGGTGCCTTTCGGGTCCCAATAACTGCACAAGAAACCTAATCATTCTCACTAACATAAAATAATTTAACAAATGGAACGGTGCCATAGCAGCCTAATAAGAAATTTCTGAGTACTGCACCACATATGGCCAGAGACTCTTCAGGCATAATTCATGCTCCCCCCAGCTTTATGGTAGGCTTGTGTTTTATGTTTAACGTGGAATAAAATGTTGCACGTGGCATCCACAACACTCCCACTTTTTTTTTTTCTTTTAAGGATATAGTTAACCTTTGATCTGGGTGTGAAGCAGTATGGGTTTTTTTTTTCCCATGATAAGTGGAATTGCTTTACCTTAGGGATAAGATGTGTTGGAGTTGAGGGTAGGGGGATGGGAGGGAAGCAGGCTTAAACCATTAGGTGTGGATTTTCATCTCCTTAGAGACATTACAATGTCATTTAAGTAAAACAGAACGGTGCCTTTAAAGATGGATACTGACATGTCCGTCCTCTTCCACCTCCTGCCTCCTTCCCTGATTCCCCCAGAAGAAAGCTGTTTCTGAACAGATGAAGTTATTACTATTTAATAAGAGTGATTTTTTTTTTTTTTTTGCACAACACTAATGGGTTTCTGCTAGCCAAGATTGTGTCATCTGGCTTTGTTTGTATCTTTAAAATGATGTTGCTTAACAGAATAGAATTTGAGATAAGAGGAAGTTAATCCCCTGTCTTGTTAGGGTGATCTGGGTTACCTCCTGTAGAGAAGTGTTTGCATGTTCCATGCACGTCCTCAGAGATTTGATCTGGAATTCAACCACCTCTGCATCTTGCTTACATATGATAAACATCTTGTGTTCCTGCCTCGAGTACATGCTAGTAGGAGCACCAAGGAGAGAGCTAACAAAACTTCCAATTCCAAAGCGCAGTTTTGTTGCAGGCTTTATGTATTTATGCGGAGTCAACCTGTGTTCTTACCCTGTGCTTCCAAGCCTTTGTCTTGCAGATGCCGAGGCAGCAATGCAAATAAAAATAGAGCAGAGAGAAACGTGACTTCATTAAAGGTTTGGGAACTTGAAGATGTGCTTATCCCAAAGTCTGCTGGTTAAAATAAACATAGGAACTGGTCGTGAGAGTGTCTCAATTCTAGCTGTTTCAATTGAACTGTTGCTTCAGATCAATGGGCACTGGCAGCTCCTTGGCCTTGCTACCTCTTGCAGCAGGTGAGGCTGGGTGCCGTGGGGGCTTTGCAGAGCTGTGCACAGGGAGCTGTGGCTGCCACAGAGATGCTGCTGTCCTGGGCTGCCCTCAGCCTCTGAGCTGTAGGGGTGGAGAAATCACTGCTGTGCCTTTGAAGAGCAGGAGTTGTGTTTCATTAACACCAGCCTGAGTGTCATGGTGGAAGCACAGATGGTGCGTTTTAAAAAACAAACCAGGAAACACTTTAAAATAAATGAGAAGCAGTTATTCTCTCCTTTGGTGCCTATTGTAAGCAAGTGTTAATGTGGCTGGGCAGAGTCTGTATAAAGGCTAGATATTTCTGTTTTTGGTGCAATGGGAATGAATGAAGGCAAAGAGGGAATTCATCTGAATACAGCTACTCATCCCAAACATCAGTGCCCCCATCTGAGCCTTGCTAATGAGCAGCTCTGCCAGAATGGGGCAGGGCTGTAAGTGCTGACCATGAGCACCACCATGCTGCAGAAGGATGGCTGGGTGTCTCCCAGCAGGTGGGCACTGCAGGCAAGTTTTGAGGGGGCCATGGTAAGAATCATGAGGCTCTCACCGGTCAGTATGGAGCTGGTAGGGTGTTTTTCTGCTGAAGCCTGTTTACAGGAGCACAGTTGCAGTAAATTTCTCATTCTAAATATGGCTTCAGTTCATAGTGTTTTTTTCCTTGACATTTAAATTTCTTCACAATCAATTAAGGCAAATGTCTATATTAAACTAAAACTAAAAAAGGCCAAAACCTCACTACAAGCTAATTTTCAAGCCACTAAAGTAACATTTTTCAGTAAGCATTTACTTTTCATGTGGATATCCTATACCTTGTCAATACACTCTCATCCTGCTTTCTACATGTTCCTCTCCCCAAGAAGTCCCATACAGCCTAATGGATCACTGGGATTTCCCCCACATGATAAACTGTTTCTCTTACTCCCATTAGTTTGTTTGGGAAGTTGAAAAGCTGGAGTAATCAAAAATAATCATTGGTGTCAAAACTATTATGAATTATTAAAAGAGGCACAGCAATGGGAGCTACAGATTATTCCTCATTCTGAAAATGAGCACGTCTTACGTTATTGCTGCAGTAATTACCTAAAAATACCTAATACTTAATTACTTCCAAGGTGTCGATCTTCATAACTGTTTATTAGAAAATTCTAATGCGTGGAGCAGCTGCTTCAGCAAGCAAATCTAGTTGTGCTGAACCTGACATTCTGCTCTAAATATTATTCCATTTTGATCAACATTATTTCTCTGTGCGTATCTTGTTACAGCTGTTACAGATTGGGAAGGGAGGGTTTATCCAGCTGCAGTGGGAATTGCTTTGCTCACTCACGGCTGTCAATTTCCAACTGCTGGAGCAAGTAAAAATGTTTGTAACCAATTTGAAATGAGGAAGAAGCTAGAAGAGTTGGTTTGTGACCCTGTGCTTGATTTCTTGGTGGTGTTTCAGCTGTATAAATGCCTGGTTCAGTTTACAAAGGCTTCCCTTTCAGGGAATGATCAACTGTGCGTGGAGGGATGATGCTGGGGAAAGGGTGTGGAGCAGTGGGATGTGGATCAGCAGCATGCTGTGCCTTTGCGGAGTCCCCGTGCACTTGTTATTACTGGTGTTGGCTGCTAGAAGAACACTTGGCATTTTGAGTAGACAGCTTCAGTCTAGAGCACTTGTGAGGTTATCCTGTGTGAATTGCAGTGGAAACTGTGAGTGAATTAGGACAAAATGTAGCCTAGAAGTGTAAAATCTATCTGTTGTTTTGTGCAGTAAATGTTTAAGAAGTCCACAGTGAATGAGCACAATAGAAGCAACTGAAAAGCAGTAGGCCCTAGAAGCAAGCTCTTCAATTACCTGGCTAATACAGAATTCTATAAACCAGTGACTTCAAACTCTTGTGTATTGCTGTTTTCTGTGGGTTTTTTTTCCTATTTTCTTTTGGTGCTGGATCAGGTATTGTTAAGAAGCCCTGGGCCATCTCTTCTTCACTTCAGCAGCGGGAGATCTGTGCCTTTGAAGCACAAGGATTTCAGTTCCGCCCTCCCACCTCTGCAGTTTCTTTGGAGACCAAGGCAGTGTTGCAATGCACTCCATTAGGCCTCATGCTATCCTTGGTGCTTTGCCAGTGGCTGATGCACTAAGTGTCCTTTACTCTCCGTGCTGTTCCTCAAACATCCCCACAGCTGAGGCTGGGTTGGGGCTTTGCCACACTGCCTCGATCCATCCTGGCACATTCTGGGACAGCAGCACTGTGCAACCAGGGAGGTCTGCCTGCTGCTGAGAGACAGCAAGAACTCACCCATGACCTAACGGTGATGTCTGCACTTATTTCTGATAGTTTGCTACTAAATCTGAGAGTAAACAGCAGGTGTCTGGAGGCATGGGGCTTGTTGGGAAACCTGTATATTTTGTTCAATGCTGTGGATGTTTATCTCTATGGCCTTAGTTCAGACCTGTTACACTGCATTATGTGTGTGTTGCATTGTGTTTAATGGGTATTCACTTTTTTGAAGAGCACCTGGTTCATTGCAAATCTCTTTGTGGCAGGTGCCTTGCAGGAACAAAATCCTCGAGCAGTGTCAGCAAACTGAGCTGACTTTGTGCAAATTTTGTGTTATCTGGCCTTTGTGTTTGTAGAAAATAACTAAGCCACAGTTTTCATTCGTTGGAGGGGAAATGAGTTTTTGTTAAATGTACGTGTAAGGCTGGAGCTGGGTCACCCTGAGAAACAAGGGAGAACCAGATGGTAAGGAGTCGGCTTGATTTCAGGAACAGTGGCTGTGCATGAGGAGTGCCACTGGCTTCCATGGGCTGTGCTGCAGCAGTCACCATGCAAATCCTCAAGGCATGGGTAAATATCACCTTTCTGTGGATTACCTGTGACATCTGTAGGGAAGATATCACAGAAGAGAAAGCTTGTAAATGACTGTAAAGCAAATGCCATCCTTAGGCTGATGCAAGACCACGCACCTGTACCAGCTGCAATACAATCTCGTTTTCTGATGAATTCTGCCACATGGAACCCAAACCTTTGGGCTTTTATCCCAAATGAAAACTACAGCCTGTAGCAAGCAAGCACTCCTAGCACAGAGCTGCTTACTGATGGGAAACCTTCCTGCTCTTGAGTTCCTTATTTTCCTGTGTGCAGTACATTTAACTGCTAAATCCTCACCCTTTAGTAATCTCTGTGGATACCATTGCTATGGTAAAAATGAGAATAAGAGTAGTCACCAATGGTGATGTCCATGAAATGGGTAAACCCAAGGCAGGGCTTTGTCTGAGGCTCTCTCTGGCTGTTGATTCCTGCACTTTGTTCCTCCCCTTAAAGGCTTTGGTGTCTGAAACAGGCTGTAAGGTTGGGGCCACAACTACTTTTAAGAATTACCTGTAGATTTTTCACTGTTCAGAGTTCAACAATGCTGACCATGCCTGCTATTCAGAGTTGTCTAGACATGGTGAAAAATATTCTAAGTCATCCTGCCCCTTCCTCCTCTCAAATTGTTCCCTTTCATTCTGAGAAAAATTCAAAATTGAAATGTTTAAAAACAAATTTTAAAAAAAATCCTGTTCTAGCAGATCCATTTACTGAATTACCTCCTGTTCTGTACCAAAAAGGTCGGATTTTACTTTTTTTTTTTTTAATTTGGAAAACAGATCAAAAGTAAAGGGATCCAGAGGAGCTTAGAACTCAGTTACAGCTTTATGAAAACTAAATAAAGCAAATGCATTGTGGTGGTTTGTTGTATTTTACCTTGGGAAAAGGGGGGGCTACTGTGAGCAGGTCACATTCTGCAGCAGACCCAGTTTATTCTCTTTTATCCTGGATAATGACTGTGATTCAGAAAAGAATGCAAATGTTTTTTCTTATTTCCTGTCTCTAAAATTGGGGCAGGGAGTTTGTTTAAAAGATAACAAAAGGATTAAAATGGGATGCAAAACGTGCAATTATCTGTGATAAGCAGTGCTTTATGTTTTGGTTTGTGGGTTGTAAGTCTGTCACTGAAGTGTTCTTCAGCACGTGTAATATTTTGTGTGACTGCATTGCTTTTCAATTATACAGCTCAGAGGAAAGTTTCCACGGACAAAAACAGTGAAAGCTCATTGCTTTTAGTATTGGTTTTGCTTTTTTTTTTTTTTTTTTTTTTTTTTGCTTTTTTTCCTCTTGGTTTTTTCTTTTATATGTCTCAAATGCCTCTTCAAATACAAGTCCAAATGACAGGAGTCCAAGAGTTTGGAAGTTATTAGAGAGGTATGGATATATGCAGCTAATGAAATATGCTTGCTTACAATATATCAAGACATGCAGAACACCGAGGAAAGCTCAGCAGTTCCAATATTTAATATAAGCTGAAGTTTAAGTATTATATTTTTTTTTTTTTACAAATGCAGCACATGCTAATCTATCCCTGAGCATTTGTCAGCAGATTCAATTTCCACTCATAATTTTTCATTTACTTGTTTCTCTTTCACATCAACACAGTTGTGTGTTCTGAGCAGTGCTGGTGAGATCTGAAGTGATGCAGCACATGGTGAAGCTAGGTGATGAACTGTGGCCAGGCAGTGTGCTGTTCAGGGGCTGTGCAGAGCAAGCTCGGCTTCTAACTATTGGTTCTACTTTAAATCCATCTTTCTCAAGTTTTCATCTGTGGTACTGAAGATGCACCAATGAGTGTCTGATGAAGGACCACATTGAGCCATGTTGCAGCTCAGACAGAACGAGCAGTTTCTGCTGCAGTTGGCCCCAAACACTGATAACATGTGAATAAATTCAATTGCAGCACTGCTATGTGATGAGGGTGGTGTGATGCTGGTGAAGACCCAGCTGCTGCTCTCCCTGGCAGCAGCACATCTCATCACACGAGCCTTTCTGAGGCCTATCTGGTAATGAACCAGCTTGCAATTTTGAAGGCAGAATGAGAAATAATTGTTTTATTTAAAATGTAGTACTGAGTCTGCCACTTGACGTGCAGCAGCTTGTTCTGGAGTGGTTCTTGTCAAATTGTTCAAAACACAAGTTGTTTTTTTTTAAAAAAAAAAACAACTTTCCATCTCTGAACGCTTCCTTGCTGTGCAGTGTGTCTGGTAATCAGTGTGTATTTCGTGCTGCATTCCCCACCAGGCTACCTCCCCAAGTGCAGGGTGTTGGAGCAGCTGTGCAAGAGGGCTGTTGGTTTCTTTCTGGCCTTCCTGCAGCATGGATGATCCACGTCCAGGGCTGGGTGTCTGTGCTGGCAGGGCTGTGCTTCGCTTCTAATCCTTAGTGCTTGCATTAATAAAATCTAGTGTTCACCTACAAGCCTTCTCTTCAGGGTGTCCTTTACCTATTTTGGCTAAACACCACCACAGCAGCTTTTTAAACACGTACACTGCTCTCTCTTCTGTAGCTTGTACTGCTACTGTGAAAGCTGTTTTGCTTGTGAGCCCTTTTTTCTAGCTTGGTGTCAGCTTTGGCTCATGGGGCATTTCACCCCTGCAATAGTTTGAGATCACACAGTGACGCTGAGGGAAGGCTTGTATCTCAAGGCAAGAAATAAAGGTATGTGCAGTGCGTTCCTATACCCGAGGGGCTTGGCCTTTGCAGCCCAGGCAGTGATGCTTGGCAGGGCACAAACACAGCTTGTGGCTGCTTCTGGGTGAGAAGTATCACAAGAGGACCCTGCTTATTGCCAAGTCCCACAACCAGCCCTGAGGTGCTTTCCTGTTGTTCCCACCCTGCACAGGTTCAGAGGTGAGCTCTGTCAGAGAAATGGAGCTTGTGTGCCTGGCAGTGGTGTCTGCCTTGGGAAGTGCCTGAGCTGTGAGTTGTCACAGGATGAAGGATCACTTGACACCAGCCTTGCTCTCGCATGTTTTTCTGGGCATTCACTGCTGGTAATAGTTGGAAGTGGAACAGTGGGGTAGTTAAATCCTTGGGCTGATCCAGTGCAGCATTCCCGTGTTCCTAAATAATTGGCATGCTAAACACTGCTGCTGTTAATTGCACTGGTACTTGCAACTATTAATTCTAATTACTATTCATTATTTCTGTAGCGTGTCAAATGTGCTAGAAACAATATCTGTTGGTACTGAGGATTAAGATATGGTTACAGTAAGAGATAATGACGGGTTTTTTTTCTCTTTTGTGCAGAGGTGGAGCCTGTGTGCGTGGGGACACTTGCCTGGGTAATGTGATGCAAAGGGGTTGGCCTTCCAGGTGAGCTGCTATCTCTTGTGGCTGGTGGAATCTCACTGTTTTACTCCCAGGTTGAACGTGGCCCCTGGTTTTGTGTGCCCATCCTGAGAACTGCTGTTACCAGAGCTGCTGACCAGTCAGCTTTGTTTTCTGGAGACGCTGGTGGGAGGAGGATCTTCTCATCTGCTAATTAGTAGATCCATTATTGTTCACTTTCTGTGCCATCAGTTGCTGGAGGAGAGCAGGTGTCAGCTTCTAGACAGAATTCCCTGTTGGAATGCTTGGTAAATGTTACCTGTTACAGCTGCACTTGCTTGTAACTTAGTACTGGCAGGGTGAGGATGAGCCAGTGAGGCAAATGCAGCTTTTGGGCAGCTCATTGCAGCTGATAATTTGAAGACTTTTGATGCAGACAATCGATGTGCAGAATTTTAGTCCTCATGTAGGTGTTTTATTTCAGTTTTTACTTCCTCTGGCAATCTTGTCTGAATTAACATACAACCAAATAGCTGCTGACTGGAGCTGCATAGGCATTGGTTGTGATGTAATACTTGGCCTCTGGGTAGACCTGCAGCAATTCTTAAACATGAGAATGGAGACGAGGTGATGACACGCAGTCACAGATCTCACTTAAAAGGAATCTCTGATTTCAGCAGAATTAAAAGGGCAGATGGGGTATGAGCATTTTCCAAACCTTGTCTCGCTGAACAGAGAATTAGCAAGATCATTAAACTGCCTCATTATTACCATGGTAATTACAAGATTAACACACTTCTCTTCAGGATCTCTAATTTGTTTTGTAATATAAGCAAGATGGGGGGATGACTTTACTATATTTGAAGTCGTAGGACCAATAGTGTCTGAGGAATAAGGAGGGGGTTAGCGGCACAGAATGATGCATATCAAATAGATATCAAACAGCTACATATGCTAATATGCGATGTATATGTGAGCTGCAGAGATCATTTATTTCAGAGAGTGGCAAGTAGGTGCTAGGTTTGATCAGATTATCAAAGGTACCTGAGGACCTGTCAAGCGCAGCCCTTCCATGTTCTTCTGAGACTTTAACATGAAAAGACAAGGCAGAAATGGGTCTGACATTACTAATGATGACAAGATCTGCAGATCCTTCCCTGGCACTCCTTGTTAATTTTCTTTTAAGGAGTCCTGGTGGGCATCCACTACTGCTGAAGCTGCTGGCTGGGTGCTGCCTGGTCCTTATGTTTGTAGGTCCTTAGTGGTGGGGCACCATCACAAGCTTGAATTTGTCACAAACAGATGTAACACTGGTGTGTTGGTCTCAGAGCGGAGTGAGACTGCAGCTGGTGAACACAAACGGCATGGGAAACATTGAGGAAAACTGCTATGCAGCGGATGAAAATTAGTGTCCTCTCTTTAAAGTAAACTGCTTATTGCTGTGCAGCTGCTGGATCTTCTACTTCCAGACTTTATAAACCTGCATCTTGAGTTGAATCCCTGTTTTTCTTCTCTTGCTGTTATTTATTGTGACTTACTGTTTGGTGTCCACTTATGCACAGTCTCATATGAAAGCTCAGTTATTTTAGTCTGGCTAGAGGGGAGTTTTTAGGTGTTTGTTTAAAGCTGACCGTGATTGTGTTGAGATCTGCCCAATAGCAGATGAATCAGGCCCATGCTGCACAAGGGTGGGACAGAAACACCTTTCCTTTGTCTCGGGCTGGTGATGCCAGCAAGAATCCCTGCAGCAGCAGGCCCCAGGCAGCATCCTTGTTCCAGCCCAGGGGCTGTGGCTTTTCCATATCTAGCATTTGAGCAGCAGATGGAGCAAGGGATCAGACAAATGCTTGCTGGATCATTGTGCTCCAAAAAGGGGAAGCAGAGGAGAGGAGGCTGTTGCAGCAGTGGTTTTGCTGTTTAATTCCACAGCCTGGAGAAGACCGCTTGTCTTAGCCATGGTCAGTTTTGTGTGCCTCCCCTCACCATGTGAAGACCCCCCTGAGCTCACCTCTCCCTTGGTCCGGCAGCCACAACAGAAGAAAATGAGCCCAAATGGGTACCAAGTGCTCATCTCTTGCACTGCCAAAAGCATCCGAGTGGGGAACAAGTGGGAGGGCTGTCTGAAGGGTTACAGGTGGTCACTGCTTCTGGTTGTAGCAAACAAAGCAAATAAAGATGTTGCTGGGAGAAAACATCTGCTTCTGCTTCTCGAGTTCCAGCGTGTGGAGTTGGGTGATTATGAAGAGCTATCAAATCCTGTTAACATGCAATCATACTATCTTAGGCTCGGAAGTACAAACTTTCAGGGTTTAGAAAATAAAATGAAAGATCTCAAAAAACATCTGTTGCATTTTTTCCCTTTTTTTTTTTTATTTATAAGCAAAACCCAAAATATAGTGATTTTTGGGGTCCTGACATGTGACTTTTAAAGACTTCCATCTGGCAAGGTGAGCTGGTGTTGTTGGTGTTGTTACTATAGCATTGGAATGGGTTAGGTAAGGATTCAGCAAGCAGGAGGGCTTTATTTATTGTAATAATTTTGCCAAAGGTGAGTGGAGAGCATCTCTGCTGTGGTTTCTGTGTGAAGGCCGAGGGTCAGACAGGACTGATTCCGTGACTTTTTTTTTTTTCCTGCCTCCTCCTCTGAAGCAACTTCTCTGTGCCAAGAGCTTCTGCAAAAGGGGAGAAATACTGCTTTGACTTTCAGGTACGTTTCTAATGTGATTCACATAATTCAAACTTAAACTTTCTCTCAAAGTGAGAGGGAGCAATTGCTGGCTTGCTGAAGGGCCAATCTGCCCTTTTGTTTTATATGCATGCGCTTGCTCATTAGATAACTAAGCAGCACAACATTTAATGATTTATTTAGGATAATGAGTGTGAAATGTGAAATTTCCGTGAGCCTTCACAAAGTACTGCCTGTCAAGTGTATTAAAAAGCATTTGCTACCTACTCTGAAACAACTGCAAAGCTATATATTTTAAAATTATCTCCTAAACAGTGACTACTTCTGTGAGTTATTGGTTCATATCACATTTACTGTGTTATCACAATAAGTCATTTTTTCCTGAGCACCTAGATGTTTCTCTTGTAGACCCAATTGCAATTTTCTTTCAATCCATTTATATTGCTATTAAGTTTGGCTGAAAGGTGTCACATTTTTTTTGCTCTGCCTGGATTCAGTGCTGACAGTTATACCAATGAACTGAAGCAGCTATTCCGTCTGCAGTCAGGCACCCATGATATCATTCCCTGCTAGTCAGTAAATTAAAAATGCTAAAATCTCTGCTCTTCTTTGGCCTGCTGCCTGTACTTTGGAGGTGTTTATTGCCATCTCGTACCCCAAGATTGCATGGTGCTTTGCATTTGATAGCTTTACCAATACACTGGAAAGGTAATTGTTTCCTTAATGCTGCAGATGCTGCAGAAACCAGACTTGAATAGAAACATGGGTACAGAGGAGCTTTCCAGACCTTGTCTTCTCAAAAAGCTGGTGTTTCACATCAGTGTCTCTGCCAAGTCTTTGCCTTCAGGATCTGATATACTGATTAAAAGGCTGGCCTAACCCCTACTCCATGCATCTCCTAATACTTGTCTCTTGCGTGTGATACTTCTCTCTTAAATCTTACGCTGAATTGTATGACAATTAAGCAGCCCTTAACCTTTTCATGGCCATTTTAATCATGTCAGGGCTCTCATTTATGGGTTACATTTGATCTGGACATTAAATGATCAAGTTAATCATGAAAAGGGGAAAAGTTCTCAGTATTCATTCTTTTGTCAGATGTTCTGCTTTGCCAGTGACTTCATCCATTTTAATGTGGCCAATTTGCTTGTTGAGTGCCATCAAGTGCTGTCAGACCAATGCAGCCCGCTAATCATTCATAAGATTCTGTAAACTTGGTCCTTTTCTTCTTCATGAGTTATAACCTTTTTGGAAGTCATTTATTAGTTGATGAGATTATTTGTGGAAATGTATTTAAGGCTGTGTGCTGATGAATAAAGCAGGTCCTTGGTCTATTCATAACATGCTAAGACTGATATTGCAGTCCTGCTAGCAAGCTGCTGGACTGTTCTGCCTGCTAATACAGGATTTGCTTATCTGCAAGATCAGTGTTTTTAAAAATATTTTTTAAAGGTAAATTTCAGTAGTTGTAATGGTTGCACTTCCATCATACCCCTCCTTGCCTTGGTCCAGCCACAGGGCAGCTCTCCCCATGGTGGGATGGGATGTGGGGGTGTCCTGGCGGGCATGGTGGCACAGCAGCACCTGGTCCTGGTGGAGGAGCTGCATCTGTGGGTCTCTGCAGTTGTTTGTTTAGCAATAATAGGTGCTAATGAGATATGGAAACTGTGCATTATGTTGCCTTGTTTCCATTCAAATGAATGAAGGACAACCATTCCCCAGACATCTATGCGTATACAAATCCACTTGTGAAAATATTTGTGGACTGCAGATAAAACAGGGAGGTAGGAAGTCAGACCCAGCAGAATCAAATGGGAGAGGATTTTAGACTCCTGCCCTCTGTGTGGCCATCTTTCCATTGCTCTCTGCGGGAAAGGGAGGGAAAGAAGCTGCCTGAGTTAAACTCCAGTAAGATGTGGGACCTGTTCTCAGCTTACTGTGAAGAAAACCTGCTCAGGAAGCAGTCTCTTATTTTTCCCAGCAGAAACCTGGGCGTTGCACCAGGCAGGTCTGGGTTAGGTTGCTGGAGGAGGGAGATGCCCAGAGAAGTGGATGGGAGCTCAGGGGATGTGAAGCTGGTGATAGTGAAATTCCAACTCCTGTCTTTGGCACATAACCCCTGTTACTGATTTACCCATGATCTGTAAGTTTGTAACTGCATCTGCCAGAGGAAGAAGAGCTATTCCTGCCCCCGCACTGCTTTGAAAAGGAAATAGCCCTGAAGAGTAAATATGACACAGCTGAAGGACAGCGATCCCTCAGCCTTGCTGGTGGGCAGATTTCATTAACTTTTCAAAACACATCATGGATGCTCTTGTCTGAAGCCACCGATCACACTGAGGGAGATCTCGTATGGGTC